TCTGGGATGGTACTCTTCCATCCATCAAAGGCAGAATGCCATCCTTATTTCCAAAAGGTCTCTCAGCTCTAAACTTCTGTACCAGTAACTTCCTGGGAAAGAATGTGTCAGAATTCACTTTTTCTGTGACCTCTGTCTACTCTGGACATATTTTGTCTCCACCAGTAACTGTTTTCATCATGTGGAGGCAGGAACAAAAGCAAGATAGCAGTTTTCTGATTAGATTTCCATAATCATCAGGTTGTCACCCTGGCAGGGGAAACCACAACACTGAGTACTTGAAAGATAATCTCTCCTGGGTTTGAAACTTCCTGTACAATGGCACGATCTTGGCTCACTGCAACCTCTACCTTCTGGGCTCAAGTGATTCTCCTGCCTAAGCCTCTCGAGCAGCTGGGACTACAGGCGTGCACCACCATTTCCGGCTAATTTTGTATTTTTGGTAGAGATGGGGTTTCACCATGTTGGTCAGGCTGGTCTCGAACTCCTGACCTCAAGTGATCCACCCACCTCGACCTCATGAAGTGCTGGGATTACAGGTGTGAGCCACTGCACCCGGCCACATATCTCCTTATTCTAGTTCTTCTCAGAGAGTATTCTGCATATGTATATTTCTCTCCATCCAATGATTTGAGATTCATGGTTTTATTGTAGATAGGTTTTTTCTCATTTTATTTCTTTATTGATTTTTACTTAACAATTTATTGCACATCTGTAAATACAGATCTATGTTACTTCACATCACTTATTAGATTTGCTCATAATTAAATAAGTATTGTCCACACTAGGAAACTTTCTGCATATTGGTTCACAAAATACTTCAATCAGCTGATCTTATATTGAATAATATTATTTTTCTGGATCTTTATATAGTGACCACCTTCTCATTGTTTGGTTCTTACCAAACCTGTCACATCCACAAAGACATTTTCCATGACAAAGTAGGTTAAGAGATTCTTGCTCACCTATATTCTCTAATAGTCCTTGTATTAGGTTAACACATATTTGAGATCTCTAGGTAGCTTAATTTTTTGTCCATGTATCCGTCTGCACATGGTTTTTTTTTTTTCTAATTTATCTCCTTAAAAAATTTTTGCTTTTTTCTCATGAGTTTATACATTGAATTAACAATGGGAGATTTTGTTCACTGTAGTGTTTCTTGCTCCTGAAAAAGAGGCTTGGATGCGGCCTGGCATGGTGGCTCACACCTGTAATCCCAGCACTTTGGGAGGCCAAGGTGGGCAGATCATCTGAGGTCAGGAGTTCGGGACCAGCCTGACCAACATGGAGAAACCCTGTCTCTATTAAAAATACAAAATTAGACAGGCATAGTTGCGCATGTCTGTAATCCCAGCTACTCAGGAGACTGAGGGAGGCGAATTGGTTGAATCTGGGAGGCAGAGGTTGCCGTGAGCCAAGATCTCACCATTGCACTCCAGCCTGGGCAACAAGAGCAAAACTCTGCCTCAAAAAAAAAAAAAAAAAAAAAGGTTTGGATGCTATAGTCATTCATTGCAGAACAGGACAGATGGGTGGACCCAATCATTAAAAGTGAGTCAGTGATTATTACTTTTAGTAGTAGTAGTATTAAGCTGCACTGGACCACAGAGATAATTGGATGAGGCAGAACAATAGAAAAGGCAGTGACAGCCTTTGGCTCTGTTGTATGCTGGGCTCTGGTACAACCTAGAGTCACACACACATGAATTCTGTATGGACAGGTGAAGAGTTACGAGAGGTATTTACCTTAAGGGGTTAAGCATGGGTTTAGCTAATTTGGGAAGAAATTTGAGATGAGAAAGGAGCATAGTTAAGCACTGCTGTGTCTTTGAAATCCTTTTTTCTGTCACTGAGTTGTGGTTGCAAAACTAAACTCTTACTATCCCCCAAACCGAGAGGTTGGTGGTGACCTCAATGAGGCCCAAGAACTGGAACAAATTTGAGGAAGGAAATCATACAGTGCTCCGTCTGAGGTGGAAGTTGAGGTTAGCAAGGACTGTTACACAATTCTCCCATGAGAAGGCAAGAGAGGTCCAGGTGTGGGGCCCCAGCACTTTGGGAGGCCAAGGTGGGTGGATCACCTGAGGTCAGGAGTTCGAGACCAGCCTGACCAACAAGGTGAAGCCCCGTCTCTACTAAAAATGCAAAAATTAGTCGGTCATGGTGGCACGTGCCTATAGTCCCAGCTACTCTGGAGGCTGAGACAGGAGAATTGCTTGAACCTGGGAGGCAGAGGTTGCAGTGAGCTGAGATTGTGCCACTGCACTCCAGCCTGGGCGACAGAGCAAGACTCCATCTCAAAAAAGAAGAAGAAGAAGAAGAAGAAGAAGAAGAAGGAGAAGGAGAAGGAGAAGGAGAAGGAGAAGGAGAAGGAGAAGGAGAAGGAGAAGGAGGAGAAGGAGAAGGAGAAGGAGAAGGAGGGGAAGAGGAAGAGGAAGAGGAAGAGGAAGAAGGAGGAGGAGGAAGAGGAGGAGGAGGAGGAGAGGGGAGGGGAGAGGGGAGGGGGATGGGAGGAGGGGGGAGGGGGATGGGAGGACGAGGAGGAGGGGGGAAGAGGGGGAGGGGAGGGGGGGAGGGGAGGAGGGGGAGGGAGAGGAGGACTAAGAAAGAAGAGAGAAGAAAGAAAGAAAAAGAAAGAAAATTGAATAGTTGTCTATTCCAATTGTTCATACCAGATCTGTGGATATGGTCAACAGGATAGGTCTGAGACTCACTGAATTTACACTGAGAAAGACGTGAGCTCAGACTATGTTGATCATATGATCTCCACAAACCCCTTCTGACTGGAGGGTCACTGATATTTTGGGTCTCCTGGAATCAGTATCAGCTCAGAATCAGTGTCCAGTAGCACCCAAGATGTCTGGTAACTGTGTTTTTCTCTAGTGCACAGTTGCCCTGACAAAAGGTCATAGGTCTCCTTCAGGAAGGCTGGGAGGGAGATTAACAGTGTAAATGGCAGTGTAGCAGAGGCAATGTCAAGGAAATGTGGCCTTCATCATAATTCAAGGGGTTCTGAGCCTATAAACTGGCTCCATTCCAGGAATTGATTAAGGGACTGCTGTGTATGCTTTTATGATTCAGGTTAAACTTTTGCTTACTTTACCCAGCCATTTTCTGATGACACAGATTAAAATTAAGTAGGTTTCTTATCTATTTCACTTATGGGAACACCATGACAAACTAGCAAGCACCACATAGTCGCATAAGTCACATGATTTCAATTGCTGCTTTGAGTCTGCTTTGCATTACTGTGGTCACACCAATCTCGCCTTTGTTAGTGGAGTTTCGCCGCATGGCCCCTGCCACTCTGGGATCCAATGACTCTAGTTACATTTATGTTTCTCGATTCAGCAGCTGTCGCCTGAAGTTTGAATCTAAAAAGAAAATTCATCACAGAGCTCTTCCACAATTCTGGGTCTTCCCTCACACATTTATTTCTCACAAGATTGTTGAAAGATACATTTTCGGCTGGGCACGGTGGCTCACGCCTTTCAGAGGCCGAGGCTGGTGGATCATTTCAGGTCAGGAGTTCGAGACCAGCTTGGCCAACACGGTGAGATCCTGTCTCTACCAAAAATACAAAAATTAGCTGGGTGTGGTGGCGCACGCCTGTAATTCCAGCTACTCAGGAGACTGAGGCAGGAGAATCGCTTGAACCCAGGAGATGGAGGTTGCAGTGAGCTGAGATCACACCACTGCGCTCCAGCCTGGGCAACAGAGTGAGACTCCGTCTCAAAAAAAAAAAAAAGAAAAAAGAAAAAGAAAAAAAGAAAGATACATCTTCTAGACTCTTCCAATTTAGATGAGGAGTTTTGAATGACAACTCCTCTCTAACATTTCAATCTTCCTAAACATTTGAATCCGTTTCTCTATAGTAAATAAACCAAGGCAGCTCTGGCATTTTGAGTCTAATCACTTTGGGCCACCTTTGGTGGAAACCTCCACCTTAATGACCTCGTGAGGGTCCTGGGCACCTGTGGCGACCCACCTCTGACCTCCGTTATTTAATGTGGATCCATCTACACTTGGGGACTTCCATGCCTCATGACATCTACACTTGGGGGTTTCCATGCCTCTTGACAGTTATGTTCTGCGTATTTCAGAAATGCTGCCTGTAGATTTCTCCATTAGGGATCTCAGATGTGAGATCTCGAGTGAACACATCAATCATCCAACGCTCTGATCCTATCATATCCCAAACACCTCATGTCCTCACCTGGTCTGGAAATGAAGCACCAAGGAGCCTCTCCCATGTCCCAGGAACCACTGACCCCACAACCATGGTGACGAGTGGGATTTGCGACAACAAGCTGCAAGGGAAGAAACTGAGGCTCAGAGATGGTTCATTACCGCCCGAGGTCACGTAGGCAGTGGATGATAACCGGTCATTGAATAAATATCAGCTCCCTCCCCCACTCCCCAAATCAAAGCTCAAACATAAGTCATTGTTCCCAAAACGTTGAACAGGGATTGAGGTGCAGAGGGAGAGCCAAGGACGCCAGGGGCACCGAGGAGGCCGGAAAGACTCAGAGGTTTGTTCCCAGGGAGGTCAGGGGTGGACGTTGTAGAAAACAAAAAGGGAGGAAGTTAACAAAAGGGGGGGATTACTATTGATTAGAAAGAAAATCTATAGTCCAAGGCCACAAAGAGGGTCACGACTTCCTCTCTTTATTCCCTGCGTTTCTCCTCTGTTCTCACTGCCACACGCAGCTCAGCCTGGGCTGCACAGCCCGGTGTCAGGTGCGTCTCTGCGGACCTGGGTCTGCTGCAGCATGGACCTGCATCTTCCCTGAAGCATCTCCAGGGCTGGAGAGACGACTGCCATGGTAAGAACCCCGCAACGCTGAGCCGATGGACGGGCTGAAGGAGGGAGGGAGACCCCATGGGGAGGTTCTGAGAGGGAAGAGGAGCCCACGGTCGCCCTCGCCTGAAAGGGGCTGACTCCAGAAAGCACCAGTTCTTTCTCCTGCTACATCCCAGGTCTTAGCGAGATGAAGGCAAGCCAGACAGATGGTGGCTGAGGGTCAGGAAAGACCCCATTTCTGTCTGAAATGTCTACAAAGGGGTTGGGTCTGCCCCTACCTCAGACCTAAAGAAATGACAGCCAGGTTCCAGGGGAGGGCAGTTCCACTTCCTGTGTGGCTGCAGATGACAAAACCCCATAAGAAGGACCCAGCCTCCGAGTGGCCACACCCCATGTCTCTGTCCTGCCAGCACCGAGGGCTCATCCATCTGCAGAGCAGAGCAGTGGGAGGAGACGCCATGACCCCCATCCTCACGCTCCTGATCTGTCTCGGTGAGATTTGAAGAGGGAGGGGAGATTCTAACCTAGGAGGGACCTCACCGCACAGCCAAACTCTGGTGCATAAGGAGACCCCAGGGGCTCACAAAGATCCCAGGAAGGGGAGGACCTGCTCAGGTTTCAGGGGCAAATCTCTCACAGGGAACTCTCTTCCAGGGCTGAGTCTGGGCCGGAGGACCTGTGTGCAGGCAGGTGAGTCTGTCCCCAGATGTCCCAGGTCCCTTCTCCTCACTGGGGACAAGAGGCCACCCCCGTGCAGCTGGGGACAGGGAATAGCAGATCTGGCCTGACTGATGGGGGCATCTGGAGGGTCCTGGACTGGGAGCTGGAATCTGTTGGGTTGGGTAGGAAATGACTTAGAATCTGAACTCTGATTTCCTTCCAGGCACCCTCCCCAAACCCACCCTCTGGGCTGAGCCAGACTCTGTGATCACCCAGGGGAGTCCCATGACCCTCAGGTGTCAGGGGAGCCTGGAGACCCAGGAGTACCGTCTATATAGAGAAGAAAAAACAGCACCCTGGATTACACGGATCCCACAGGAGCTTGTGAAGAAGGGCCAGTTCCCCATCCCATCCACCACCTGGGAGCACGCAGGGCGGTATCGCTGTATCTATGGTAACCACACGGCAAGCCGGTCAGAGCCCAGCGACCCCCTGGAGCTGGTGGTGACAGGTGAGAGGACACTCAGGGGTCCCAGCCCCAGGCTCTGTCCTCAGGAAGGGGGTCGGCTCTCAGGGGCGTCTCCCTCTCACAGCCCAGCCCTGGGGATGATGCGGCAGGTGGGAGTCCCATTTAACACGGTGCCTCCTTCTCTCCTAGGAGCCTACAGAAAACCCACCCTCTCAGCCCTGCCCAGCCCTGTGGTGGCCTCAGGAGGGAACGTGACCCTCCAGTGTGTCTCACGGGTGGCATTTGACGGCTTCATTCTGTGTAAGGAAGGAGAAGATGAACACTCACAATGCCTGAACTCCCAGCCCCGTACCCGTGGGTCATTCCAGGCCGTCTTCTCCGTGGGCCCCGTGAGCCCGAGTCGCAGGTGGTCGTACCGGTGCTATGGTTATGACTCACGCTCTCCCTATGTGTGGTCTTTACCCAGTGATCTCCTGGAGCTCCTGGTCCCAGGTGAGAAATTCACAGCATTGCCTGGAGTTCCCTGAGTCTCCGGGCAGGTGGGGAGGAGCCGCGTCTCAGGGCAGCTCCAGGTGGGATGATGTTGGGACCAGAGGGCTCAGGGCTCCTGGGGCCAGAGACACAGAAAGATCAGCAGTGGTGAGGCCCAGGGGAGAGGGAGGGTTTGTGGGAAGCCTGAGGTCGCTCCTGGAAACCGTGACCACCTTTTCCCAGGTGTTTCTAAGAAGCCGTCACTGTCAGTGCAGCCGGGTCCTGTCGTGGCCCCTGGGGAGAAACTGACCCTCCAGTGTGGCTCTGATGCCGGCTACAACAGATTTGCTCTGTACAAGGAGTGGGGACGTGACTTCCTCCAGCGCCCTGGCCGGCAGCCCCAGGCTGGGCTCTCTCAGGCCAACTTCCCCCTGGGCCCCGTGAGCCGCTCCTACGGGGGCCAGTACAGATGCTCCGGTGCACACAACCTCTCCTCCGAGTGGTCGGCCCCCAGTGATCCCCTGGACATCCTGATCTCAGGTGAGGAGCCCAGCGGGTTCAGTCAGGGACCCACGCTCTGCACAGGCCCTGCTGGGGGAGCCAAGATGGTGATGGCTGGGACGAGGTGTGGGGGTCCCAAGGGAGAGAGAGACAGACAGAGACAGGCGATGGGCAGAGAGGGGGAGACTCAGAGAAAACAGACAGAGAGACTAAGGGTTCCAGAGAGAGGCCTGGGAGGTATCAGCTCAGAACAAGGTGGGGCAGCCCCTCATCCATCCTTCCCCTCTCCAGGACAGATCCGTGCCAGACCCTTCCTCTCAGTGCAGCCGGGCTCCACGGTGGCCTCAGAAGAGAACGTGACCCTGCTGTGTCAGTCACAGGGATGGATGCACACTTTCCTTCTGACCAAGGAGGGAGCAGCTGATCCCCCCCTGCGTCTAAAATCAAAGCGCCAATCTCATAAGTACCAGGCTGAATTCCCCATAAGTCCTGTGACCTCAGCCCATGCGGGGACCTACAGGTGCTACGGCTCACTCAGCTCTAACCCCTACCTGCTGACTCACCCCAGTGACCCCCTGGAGCTCGTGGTCTCAGGTGAGGGCCCTGACCCTGTCCTCTCTGAACTCAAAGGCTCAGCTCAGGCCCTGCTCCCAGCAGAGCTCTGGAACAATAATGAAGGAGGGGAGTGAAGGGGCAGGGTCCGCAGGGGAGGATCCAGCCCATGAGAGGGTGGAAATAGATGCGACCTCCCACCCCTGGCTCCCACCCCTGAAGTCTCAGTGGAGTGAAGAGTCGGGAGGGCTGGGAGGAGACGGGGGTGAACCTCAGAGGAGATGAGATTAGAATGACTGTGGAAGACGGAGGCCCCACCCGCACCCCTCCTGATGTCTCCACCTCAGAATCAGAGCCTCTGGGGGTCCCAACCTCTAAGTCCTGACTCATGGGTGACAAAAAAAACCAGCCACTCCCAAGTCAAGAGAAGTTTCTAGACTCATCTCAATGCTACCTCCAATATTCGGGATCTGATTCAGGGCAGCAGAGGGCAGGGTGGACAGTAAGGGTGTGGTCCGCGTGGCTTCCTGGTGCTCCAGGGTTGGGACAGGTGCTCCCTCCGTGGTGGTCAGAGGGGAGGGAGGTGTCTGAGGTTCGGCATTGATGAGTGGAGCAGCGGGGACTTTCCCCCTCCCCGAGCAGGATTCCCAGGAGCCATCACCTCTCATGGGGAGCCAGGGCCAGGGGCGATCATAGGCAGGTGCTTGCTCTAGGAGTCAGGTGGGAGGAGCCCGGGGAGGTGGGGCTGGGACTGTGATGGCTCAGCCTCTCCTTGGGAGGTGGAACTTCTGAAAAAGTTGGTTCCCCTCGCACCCTGGACTCCCCATCTGAATAACGGGGAGCTGCCTGGATGTGACCACCCCAAAGCCCCTTCATTTCTGACCTTCTGGGGCATCTGGGATGTGGCTCCTCCTAGACCTGCTCCCATCTCCAGCCCTCTCTGGCCTTGTCCTAATTCTCCCAATAACGGAGGCTTGTAAGGGTTAAAAAGCCAACGGAGATGGGGGCAGGTGCATGCAGTTTTACTCATCCCTCCTGGAATCTCAGCTTAGTAAGACAAAGCCACACTATTTTGAAACAACAAAGATTTACAAAGTCCCACTGTTTTAGAATCTCCCCTCTCTCATGTAAAAGACAAAATCCCTCCAATTTTATACCGAAAGCCACTCCTGTCACAGCTCTGCATGTCCTGCAGGCCCCTACCCTGTCCTGCAGGATGTGTGATGAGTAGAGGAAGGAGCACAGGCTGGGTCAGGAGGATTTGGGGTCCAGGCCTGACTTGGACACGGGGAAGATACTGAGCTGACGGAGGAGGAAGAGAGGCAGGCGAGATGGAGAGAGGACAGACAGATGCTCCCTTGGCCATTCTCACTTCTTATTTCCAAGGGCCCCTGAGGATGGAGCCCCTCACCCACACCTGCGGGGTCCCTGGGCCGTCTTAGGACGGGAGAGGAGGCTGCTCAGGCCTCAATGGGATCTGACTGTGATGAGGCTGGAGTCCGCCCCAGACCCACTCCTTTAGAGAGAAGCACTCCAGCTGTGGGTGTCCCTCACACGGCCCCTCCTGTGCTCACCTGGAGGCCTCTGTGCTCAGGGCACCCTGAGATTAAGGAGGGGCCGTGCACCTGCTCCCTGGATGAGTTAGGCAATTATTCACAGTGCATCTTGTGTATAACTCATTTCTACTCTGCGTTTTCTATATGCACTTGCCCATTGTTACTCTCTTCTTTTCTAAACCTTTTAAAGCAATACTTGAATATGTCAATTTATAATTTTTATTTCAGTTATGTGAACCTATTATTTAAAAATAATTATATTTCTTTCATTGGGCTGTGATTTAATTTATATATTCAATGTAGACATCCATTTTTCGTTAACCTCAAGTCTTCCTCCCCTACATATTAAAAATTGAGGTTTCCTTAATGAACTTCAGAAGTGTTTGGATGTTTCAAAGCACAGTGGCCCCAGGGAAACTGACCGGGGGGCTCCGTGTGGCTCGTGAAACCCGCGGGAGGTCAGCGGGGGCTGCAGTGCAGCTCAACCCTGGGCCCGGGTGGGTTCATGTCCAATCTTGTCCAATCACTGCATGATTCTAACATCTAAATAAACCTCTTTTATAGGAAAAGGAGGTGCTTTAAATTTGATCATTTAAATTTAAATTAGAAGAGGGCAATTTGGTAGTGAGTTAATATGAAATACAATGAATATACCCAAACCAGTAGCTTTCTCATGGGTACTTACCTCTTGTTTAAAAAATATGAAAGAATCAAATACTTCACTTATAAATTGTCAAAGGTGTTGAATAATTCTTTAAATTAAAATGGACATAATTTTTTAAATGTCTACCCAAGACCCCCACCTCTCCTTGACAGGGAAGTTATGTAAGTTGTATATAACCTTAGGCAGAATTTGTTATATAAGTTACATCTGAATGTCTCTTCTCCTCTGTTTTGATTCTCAGGAGCAGCTGAGACCTTCAGCCCACCACAAACCAAGTCCGACTCCAAGGCCGGCGAGTGAGGAGACGCTCGCGGTGAAGACGCTGGGCGGAGGGTCAGGTCCTGTCAAGGGGAGCTGGGTGTCCTGGGCGGACATTTGAAGAATTATATTCATTCCAACTTAAAGAATTATTCAACACCTTTAACAATTTATAAGTGAAGTACTTTATTCTTTCATATTTTAAAAATAAAAGGTAATTATCCATGAGAAAGCTGAGTTTGAGTATATTCATTGTGTTTCGTGCTAACTCACTACCAAATGACCCCATTCTCACTGCTTTTCTATGGATCTCCTCTAATTTCCTGATAAAATTTATACAAACCATGAGACAACGGAAATTTTACTTCTTTACTTCTATATTGCTTGCCAATATTTCTCACTTCAAATACCAATATGTATGTAATACATCTTAAATAAATATCTAAAGCTTTATATCTATACATATTTATGTGTGGTTATATAAGTTACATTTGAGTATGTGTGTAGGCATATCCAAGTTCATCTGATATGTATTCATCCATATTCTTAATATATTTGATGGTCGGGCACGGTGACTCACGCCTGTAATCCCAGCACTTTGGGAGGCCAAGGCGGGCAGATCACCTGAGGTCAGGAGTTTGATACCAGCCTGGTAAAAGCTCGTCTCTACTAAAAATACAAAAAAAAAATAGCTGGGCATGGTGGCACACCCTTGTAGTGCCAGCTACTCAGGAGGCTGAACCATGAGAATCACCTCATGAACCCAGGCGGCAGAGGTTGCAATGAGCCAAGAGAGCGCCACTGCACTCCAGCCTATGCGACTGAGTGAGATTCCATCTCAATAAAAATAAAAATAGGCCTGGTGCGGTAGCTCATGCCTATAATCCCAGCACTTTGGGAGGCTGAGGCAGAAGGATCATGAGGTAGAGAGTTCGAGGCCAGCCTGGCCAACATGGTGAAACCCCATCTCTACTAAAGATACAAAAAACTAGCTGGGGGTGGTGGCACGCACCTGTCATCCCAGCTGCTTGGGACGCTGGGGGCAGGAGAATTGCTTGAACCTGGGAGGCGGAGGTTGCAGTGAGCTGAGATCATGCCACTGCACTCCAGCCTGGGAAACAGAGAGAGACTCCATCTCAATAAATAAGTAAATAAATAAATAAAAAGATATTTTGTGTGGTGGGAGTTTACATGTTTGTTACTGGTCTAGATTCACCTAGATTCGCACTTTGTAAAAGCAGAAATACTGATTTATGAACCTCTAATAGCACCACTATTTAGCAGACAGATGTTTGTGCGTGGGGATGGAGGGGAAGGTATCACATCATTCTAGGTTTTCCTGACTATATGAAGAATTAGTTAGATTAATTGGACATTGAAAACCCAGGTGAAGTGGCTGAGGGCATGAAGGGAAGGCAGCCCCAGACTTTCACCCCTTTCTGCTTCTGACATTGAGGCGCCCCTGAGGACCAACCCCTCATGCACGGAGCCTGGGTCCTCAGCTGGTGGATCTGTGAAACTCTCATCTCCGGGGGAATTGGTTCATGTGCTCCTGTGTCCCAGGCTGCACTGACAGCACCCAGGGCTCAGTGATTTCTATACTGGGGACACTTTCCTTGCAGATCCTGAGCCCTTGGGGTACAGGAAAACTCTCCCAAATGACTCAAGAGCAATGTTTGGATTTGTAGAACACAGGAAAGCTGAAATAGTTCCATGAGGAGACTGGAGGAAACCCTGCTACAGAGGAAGGGTTTACTGAGGAACTCACTAGAACTCGTGTCAGAAGACAGGGGAAGATAAGAATGCAGAGCCTAGGAGAGAGGCTGGCTCAGGGTACTTCTCCTTTGTTTTGATCCTCAGGAGCAGCTGAGACCCTCAGCCCATCACAAAACAATTCAGACCCCAAGACTGGTGAGTGAGGAGATGCTTTCAGTTATGGGGCTGGCACAGAGGGTCAGGTCCTGTGAAGGGGAGGTGGGTGCCCTGGGTGGACATCCAGAGGTACTGGGCATTGCTGATCTGCCCTGACCTCTGCGGCCTCTTTGTCCACCATCTCCCACCTCATTCCCCCAGGATTACACACTGGAGAATCTCATCCGCATGGGCATGGCTGGCTTGATCCTGGTGGTCCTCGGGATTCTGTTATTTGAGGCTCAGCACAGCCAGAGAAGCCCCTAAAATGCAGCCGGGAGGTGAACAGCAGAGAGGACAATGCACCCCTCAGAGTGGGAGCCTTGGGAATAGATCTGGTGATCCCAGGAGGTTCCGGGAGACAATTTAGGGCCAATGGTATCTGGACTGTCTGCCGATCATTTCCAGAAGGAGGAATCAGTGTTGGATTGCAGAGACATTTTCCGGGGTGATCCATGGAGGACCATTAACATGTGATACCTTTCCTCTCTATTAATGTTGACTTCCCTTGGTTGGATCCCCTTCTTTTCCCACCCCCAGACATGAGGCTACATCCCACACGGCAGTGTTGGGTCCACAGCTCTGCACACCTGCGTGCTCTGGTCCATGGCGCGTAACACAGTCTTCTTTATTCCTCATTGCCACACTCCCTGGTGTGCTTTACTGAGCCTCCATCTCTTCAGTTCAGAGTTCCAAACACGCTTCAGTAACTAAATCAATGAGGGAAATATCGGATTTCCACCAGGAAAAGATAAATCCACCCTGATGCCCTGACACCCTCTCTGAACCCTGTGAGCCCTTCCCTCCTTCTCAGATGCTACCTGTGCAGCTTCTCCTCAGATCATTGTGTAACCATCACTGCCATCCTGTTCCACACATTGTCATCACCCTACACCGAGTCAGCAGCCACCCCCCATTCCTTCCTCCCTCCAGCACCTGCTAACCACGAGTGTGCTTTCTGTCTCTATGGCTTTGCCTATTCTTGCTGAAAACATTTCAATCTGCCTATGATCTGTGAGCTCCTCACTCCGAGACTCCCTGCCTTTCCAGGAAGAACCAAAGTACCCCATGTCAAAAGCAATGATAGGCGTTTGCAGTGCGTTGGTGATCCACGAAAGGAAAATCACAGAAGTAGAATAGAAATCCAGCTGCAGACAAGACCTCAGGTCAATGAATCTTGTCAAGCAGTTGAACTGTTTCTTTCTACTCACCTAGGACAGTCAGACAGAAGTATGCAAAAGGACTGGGGCTGATTCTTTTCTGAATTGTCCCAAAACAGCAAGAGAACTTGAGTCCTAGCACTAAAGAGTTCAACATGTCTAGGTCAAAGACCACTGTTGTGTTTGAAGGATGTAAAACCCTGCTGCATAGAATAGAATGTTTGGAGGGAGGAACGTGAGAAACATGAGGGACCGAATATTCCCCATCTACCCTCTAGAATAAAGAAATCTTATCATTCGCCACCTACCCTCTAGAGCAAAGAAATCTTATCATTCACCATCAACCCTCTAGAGTAAAGAAACCTTGTCATTCACCATCTACCTTCTAGAGTAAAGAAATCTTATCATTTGCCACCTGCCCTCTAGAATAAACAAATCTTACCATTCGCCACCTACCCTCTAGAAGAAAACTTATCATTCGCCATCTACCCTCTAGAATAAACAAATGTTATCATTCACCATCTACCCTCTAGAATAAAGAAATCTTATCATTCACCATCTACCCTCTAGAATAAAGAAATCTCATCATTCACCATCTACCCTCTAGAATAAAGAAATCTTATCATTCACCATCTATCCTCTAGAATAAAGAAATCTTATCATTTGCCATCTACCCTCTAGAATAAAGAAATCTCATCATTCACCATCTACCCTCTAGAGTAAATAAATGTTATCATTTGCCATCTACCTTCTAGAGTAAAGAAATCTTATCATTTGCCATCTACCCTCTAGAATAAAGAAATCTTATCATTTGCCATCTACCCTCTAGAATAAAGAAATCTTATCATTCACCATCTACCCTCTAGAATAAAGAAATCTCATCATTCACCATCTACCTTCTAGAATAAAGAAATCTTATTAAGGACATTTTCAACGTTATGTTCATATCCATAACAATATGAATGGTTACAATATTAGGTTTTATCTATACAGCATCTTCCAAGTTCTAGTTTGGTTGTGCCAGGCCAAACATTTGAGCCAGATTTCAGCAAGATCAAGCAAGAGACTCTAGCGTCTATCGCTGATGACCTTCCCGCCATACCAGGCCGCCAGCCTTTTCCACGGACCCCCACGTGTGCCTCCTGACTCTCGGGTGCGAATCCTGTGAACACACTGACCTCCGCCTTCCACATGACTGACCAGCACTATGAAATCTGCACAAATATGAATAAGAAATATACTGTCCCCACATTCCCTAAAATAAAACTGGGTCCTCACCCAAGGGCTTTTGCTGGATTATACTAGTAAAAGGCAGGTCTTACAACACACATTCCACAGACTCACATCTCAGAGAAGATTCCTTCCACAGGCTCAGGGCCCTGAACACTCTGCTCTACTCTCAGGGCTCGGAGATACTCTGTATATGGGTCTTCACCCCATCCAGGAGCCCTAATTCCTTCTTCCTCAGTTTTTCACACAGTAATTTTTCCCAGGACTGCCGTCTACTTTCCTCTGCCAGAAATTCCTCACTGGTTCCACGGCAATCTCCTCAGGGCTTCCGTTTCATAAAATGGAAATGGAATTCTTCATATACCTCAAAAAGGAAAATAATCATCCAAACACTATAAAATACAAACATCCATCTAGCAAAATATTCCTTAGTACATCATGAATTCAAATATATATCATACAAAATGACTGAGGATTTTATTAATTTTGAGCAATAGTGAGGTTTTCTCATAGTATCTTTTGATTGTTGACTGCAAATTGAATAACAATTGTGTCTGGGAATATAATGTGTAAGACAGCCATGTAGAAAGAGTTTTTTTCCTTTTTTGTCTACTAAATACTTAATATTTTATGTGCAATGCCTGCCTTAAATATGGGCATTTCCTCCTTTGAGATATGTGTTCATAAATGTACACACATATATACACTCACACACACATGTATATACTGTACAGTAGCATCTACACATACGGTGTATACACACATAGTGTGTTTTTATGTGATATGTGAGTAATACACACATAACACTTAGACTAAGTGTATGTATCCTATATATCCAAATATATGTGGATTCTTTGTTCTATACAAACTTTATAATATTTCTCTATACATCTACACACATATATAATGTGTGTGTATATATAGTATTTGTACTATATATAGTATTTGTACATGATACGTAAATATCATATATTAACATATATATGTATACACACATATCAGAATCAGAATTTGTCTATACTAGTCCCATAACATGTGTAACTAGAATGTTTTACCATATGTATGTAATTGAGATTGAATATTAATGTGTACACTTTACTCATTAATTTTTTCTCTTAACCTATCAGGTCTTGATAAACATTTGTTTGAATCACCAAATAAATATAACTTTATGTTATATAATTTCAAGAACCTATGGTTAGATGCATGAAGGTTTACATACCTTTGGCCATGTGCGGGGGCTCACGCCTGTAATCCCAGCACTTTGGGAGGCCGAGGAGGGCAGATCACGAGGTCAGGAGTTCGAGACCATCCTGGCTAACATGGTGAAATCCCGTCTCTACAAAAAAATACAAAAAATCAGCCAGGCATGGTGACAGGAGCCTGTAGTCCCAGCTACTCGGGAGGCTGAGGCGGGAGAATGGCGTGAACGTGGGAGGCAGAGCTTGCAGTGAGCCAAGATCTCGAAGCTGCACTCCAGCCTGGGCAACAGAGCGAGACTCCGTCTCAAAAAAAAAAAAAAGTTTACATATCTTTTGTCATCTTTAATACCTTCTTTAAAAAAATAAATGAAGATGAGTCTCACTATGTTGCCCTGGCCGGTCTTGAACTCCTGGGCTCAAGTGATCCTCCCACCTCAACCTGCAAAAACCCTTCATGCCCAGCTCTTACATCTTCATTAAAACACAAAATTTTAGTTTTTATTTCTGAAAGTTTTTGTATCATGTTACATTTTATTGGGTATTAATATTTCCAATAGATATTTTAATAGCATACCTTTCTTCACTTACCGATTGTAAATTATCATTTTATTTTGGATGGTACTGTTGTGTTTCATGCCTAGGTGTTATTGGGGCTACTGAGCTATTTAACTCATCCTTCAGTGGGTGAATTACTCTTTTACGTACAGGGTAAAAAAATGAATAGTTTGGAATAACTTCGCCTATTTAGTTAAGTATTCATTCAATTATATATTTTCGAATGAAGATTCATTTATCCTCGCCTTTAGAGAAGACAGGTTCTAATTCCCCCGTAGCCAAACTCTGAGTACTGATACGTGTACATGCACATGTACTCATATGTGTGTGCTCCCGTGTGGTTGCATTCGTGTGTGCATGTGTGTGTGTGTGTGTGATTTTCAAATACTAGACTGTTTCCCACTTTCATCACTGCGGCATCTCATATTCTACGTTTTGGAGTCATTGACCTTTTTTTTTTTTTTTTTGAGACGGAGTCTCGCTCTGTCGCCCAGGCTGGAGTGAGCGGCGCGATCTCGGCTCACTGCAAGCTCCTCCTCCCGGGTTCACACCGTTCTCCTGCCTCAGCCTCCGAGTAGCTGGGACTATAGGCACCACCACCACGCCCAGCTAATTTTTTCTATTTTTAGTAGAGACGGGGTTTCACCATGTTAGCCAGGATGGTCTCCATCTCCTGACCTTGTGATCCACCCGCCTTGGCCTCCCAAAGTGCTAGGATTACAGGCGTGAGCCACCGAGCCCGGCCTATATTTTTTAATTTACTCCTATTTTTCAGTTTCTCATGATAGGTCAAGATTTGCATTTTGGCCGGGCGCGGTGGCTCACGCCTGTAATCCCAGCACTTTGGGAGGCTGAGGCAGGTGGATCACCTGAGGTCAGGAGTTCAAGACCAGCCTGGCCAACATGGCAAAACCCCGTCTCTACTATAATACAAAAATTAGCCAGGTGTGGTGGTGCGTGCTTGTAGTCCCAGCTACTCGGGAGGCTGAGGCAGGAGAATCGCTTGAACCCGGGAGGCGCAGGTTGCGATCAGCCGAGATTACGCCACTGCACTCCAGCCTGGGGGACAGAATGAGACTCCATCTCAGAAATGATTTGCATTTCATGCTTAAATGCATGCACCCTGGTGACTTAATTGCTTCCTCCCTAATGACCCCTAATGGCACCAGACACAAATGCTCTGTCAGTTTTAATTTTCTCTTTAATGTAGGTGTTTCTCCTTCTGACCAGCTTTCATTTCCCATTTTCTGCACATGACTGTGATAACCGGGGTGTTGATGAAATATTGTGAGAAGCATCTCTCAAGGGCAGGAACAAACGGGCACTCCTGAGTGCAAACCTCAATCACAGGCCTTGATGGTGGGCGCCAGCATCCCCTCACGCCCCCACCTCTCCTGTCTTCACCTCTCTGGAAATTACCCATGGCTGAGCCCCCTGCAGCCCCCAGGCACCAATGACCCAGCCACCCTGTGAGGAATGGAGTTCATGACAGGCTCCAAATGAGGAAACTGAGGCTCAGAGATGGGAAGTTACTGCCCAAGGTCACACAGGCAAGGGGTAACACACGAATAATTAAATAAAGACGAGATTTCCCCTCAAATCAGAGTGCTAACCCTATGTATTGTCCCACAACCTTGAACACAGGAGCGCAGGATGGGAACAGGAGTGTTTGAAAGAAAGGGGGGGCACCAAGAAGGCAGAGTCAGGCCAATGTTGTTTCCAGGGAGACGGGGGCGGATGACCGTTGCGATGAGTAAATGAGAAGTTCGTGAAGGGAACTTTTTTTGCATAGAGAAAACCCACACTCCAGTTCTGGGAAAAGGGTCACGATTCCTTCCCTTGTGTCCCTGTATTTCCGCTTTCTGCTCATTGCCACAGTGAAACTCAACTGGAACTGCACAGCCAGACGTGAGAGGAGTCTCTGCTGATCTGAGTCTGCCCTGCAGCCTGAATTTGCATCTTCCCTGAAGCTTCCCCAGGACTGGTGAGAAGACTGGCCGTGGTAAGTTCCCCACAAGGGTGTGTTTACGGGTGACCTGAAGGAGAGAGTGGGACCCCACGGAGAGGCTCTGAGAGGAAGGAAGAACCCTCCGTTGCCTTCACCTCGAAGGGACCAACTCAGGGAGGCACCACGTCCATTTGCAGCTACATCCTGGCCCT